GACTATGCTCGTGGAGTAGATATAATAAACGATACATCGTCGGACTCAAATTCAACAAATGATAATAGTTAACGACGATAAAATACTATGTCAATAAACAAAATTAATGTGAATATTATATGGAAACAATATTCCTATTTTATTAAATCAGATATTATTTAACTTCAGTGACCCTTCTCAATTACATATCTCAATATTTTCTACTGAAGTGGCAATTCAATTAATATTAAATGTTTTTCTTTTTTCTATTTTGTAAATATTAAAAAAATATAAAGATATTACTATGGTTATTTATTTTTTTTTATTGATTCAATAATAAAACACTGTAAAAAATGTTTAAAGCAATTTAATTTATTAAGATAAGCAAAATTTTGTTAATTATTTTATTGATTAAGAATCGATAAGTTCAAACTTTAGTATCGATCTGTTTGAAAAATTCTTTCACTCATATGATTGATCTGAATTTCGAATTGGGAACTGAACAAGTTCTACGCTATTGATACTATATTGTGATGCACTTACTAAGTTCTAACAAAAAAATATCTTCAGTTTGATTTACGAGTAGGAATACACCAACTCCCAGTTTTGACTTGGAATTTTTTGTTGTAGGATTACTAATCATGTTTTTCTTTATTCAAAACTAAAATAAAGTTTAAAAAAGCGTTCATCATAAATAATCCACTAACCATGATGATGATCTATAAAGGATGCAAAAATAAGTTTTGACCTTATCATACAATATTGTTTTTTTTTTGTCATATGTTTTTGTATTGGTCGAAGTTGATATTTACAGTACACATACTATCCATCTAGATCTATTCTAAGTTAAAATTTCAGATTTTTTTGTTTATGATTATGAAAAAGATTTAAATAATGTGAAAGTCACAAAAAAAAAATTTTAAATCATTCTTGAAATAATCATGAAAAAAAAACATTGAAGTCATTCGTTCACCTACTTACTATGAGTAATCTTTGTTTTCTTTCACACAATTCTTTCGTTCTGTAATTTGTGTACGTCATTTGTAACGAACAAAACAAAAACTCACCGATGTCTTTATCTCTGGTAATCATAACTTGTAAAAACAATAAAATATAAAAAAGACTTATGTGGAAAGATATTGACGAATGTCTTGATACAGAAATAAATAATGCGAAGTTTGATAATATTTAGTTGGTTGAAAATGTTTGATGTGTAATTAAAGAAAAATTGTAAAGTAAAAACATTTTGACAACGAATGAAAATTGAAAAAAATAATCAAGTAGTACAACAATGAAGAATGTTTACAGGAACAAAATTCAAGCAAATGTTAAAAAAAAAAATACTGATTTTTTTAAAAGAAATTTGATTTGAAATATACTTTCGAGTAGTATCTTTTATATTACATTACTAACAAATTTGTCAAAAAAGATTTTTTTTTATTATATAATCCACATAAATCATAATATTTTAATGAGATAAAAGATAAAATAACATGTTCTAGTTGATTATTCGATAAATAAATTTTCAATAGATTTCTTCGTAGTTGAAATTAATTTAAGGCCCCCTCTCTCCCTCAGAAACCAACTTCGTTATTTTTCGTCCGATTTCAACCAAATTTTCGGAGAGTATTAGTCTAGGCTAGGATAGATTATGGGTGAAATATCTCCTCCAAATCTTCAATATATTAACGAGTTATAGTCAATTTATTGATCAAAAGTACCCTGTACGCGGGCAAGATTTTCGCAATCAGGATATAATATTGAACATTTGTTTTCTACATTAAGAAAATAGCATTATATAGTTCATCTTTTATCAAGCCAAATAACGAAATTATTAAAATTCTTCAACAAGTTCTATTCATTTGAGTAATTCTATCGATGGAGAAATGAGAAGGAATCATCTTTTTTTCTATAGGTTTATTACTTTTCTATAATCTTTGATGATACACCATCCATTAGCGTTATTTATTTGCAATCTATTTTCGTAGTCATTTATGATGATATCTAATCTTCTGTACTCTCCTCTATAATTTCTGATCTTTTTAAAATAGATTTCTGAGTTTCAGATTGCATTTAAAAAAAAAGAATTTACGTTATCTTAAACATGTTCTTTCGTCAGCAAGTATTTAATACATGTTTAAAACATTTAACACTACGAATTAGTCATGAACAATCTTAAATAATCCGAATAAGAATTTCTCTTTTATTTAACTCATTAAATTCGTTTTTTTAATCTTAGACAACAATTTTTTCTATATTTCTTCAATCAATCATCTATGAATATATATATTTAGTTTAGTATCTCAAAAGTTGTATCAAAAGGTAGTGGTGACAAAGTCAAAGGCCATATTATTGGTATTGCTTTAGGTATAATAAATTCATATGTTGCTATTATGGAAAGAAAATCGCGTAAAGTACTTGAAAATGTTGAAGGTGTAGCTATAAATTTATTATAACAAACAGAAACACAATTAGATAAAATATATTTTACCAAAGGTATGCGAACAATGCCATCAGTAGTAGCCTTTACAAAAGATAATAAACGACTTGTTGGTATGTCTGCTAAACGTCAAGTAGTAACAAATCCTTAAAACACATTTTATGTTTCAAAACGTCTGATTGGGAGAAAATTTAATGATGAAGAAGTTAAAAAAGAAATGTACTTCGGGCATATCAAAAGTAGTGAGAGTGACATTTTAATACTATATAATAAGCTTTAAGAAATTTCTCTCTATATAGTCTGATAGAGAAAATAATTCTCTATTTTTCTAATCTATTTGGTCATACTTCAACAAATATCATAATAATAAAATTTCGATAAGATCTGTTTTTCTATCATATGTGATGGTTACACTAATCCGAATGTATATTTTTTGAATAACTTTTGATAGAAACAAGATAGAGAGTCACCGTTGGAAAACGGAGATAAAGACGCATTGAATTGCATATTATATATGTGTTTCCTAGACGTTATTTGAAATTTTTTCAAATAATTTTCTAAGTACGCAAAAAAAAATGTTTTTTTTTATTTCTTCACAGAAATTGCTAGAAAAATCACTTAGAGCTTAGACTAGAACATCTATAACTCCTGAATGATTAATTCAAAATATCTGAAACTTCATCAGTTTTGTAGGTCTTCCATCGACGGTTTGAATACACATCTGACAATTGAGAATTCGCTGTAAACACCATATGGAATAGGTTTGTTTTAAAAGAAGTCGATTGAAAACCTTTAAAAAGTCATGTTCACTAACCAATAATAAAATTCGATGCATCTTCATTTCTTCTTTCGAACAGTGAAAATCTCAGCTGTCTATCTTATTTTTATCAAAAGTTATTCAAAAAATATTCACTGAATAGACATTAGAATAACCATTACATATGATAGAAAAACAGATCTTATCGAAATTTTATTATTATGATATTTGTTGAAATATGATCAAATAACAACATTGAAAAATAGAGAATTGTTTTCTCTATCAGACTATATAGAGAGAAATTTCTTAAAGCTTATCATATGGTATTAAAATGTCATTCTCACTAATTTTGGTATGCCCGAAGTACATTTTTAGTTTTTTTTTTTTAAATTTAAAAAGAAAAAATATTTGATTTCAATATGCAAACAGTATCATTCAAAATTGTACGTACATCAAATGGTGATTCATGGGTTGAAGCACATGATAAAATGTATTCACCAAGTCAAATTGGTGCTTTTGTTTCAATGTAAATGAATGAAACATGAAAATTATTATAGTTCACCTGTTAAAAATACTGTTGTTACTGTTTCAGCTTATTTTAATGATTGACAACGACAAGTATGTTGACTTAGAAAAAGAAAATTTGTTTTAATAAAAAAAAATATATTTTAGGCAACAAAAGATGCTGGTCAAATAGCTGGTTTAAATGTTCTTCGTGTTGTTAGTAAACCAACAGCAGCTGCATTTGCCTATGATCTTCAAAAAACAAATGACAAAATGTAAAACAGAAAATTGTTCTAGGAAAAACGAAAATTCATTTTGTGATTTTCTTTTAGTATTGCAGTTTATGATCTTGGTGGTGGTACATTTGATATATTCATACAGTTTTAGATGATGAAGATTTTGATAATGCTTTACGTAAACATCTTGTAACTGAATTTAAAAAAGAGGTAAAACTGAAAATTTTAAGCTAAATATATTATTATCGTTTCTTTTAAAGAGTGGTATTGATATAACAAAAGATGCATAAGGAATGCAACATTTAAGAGAAGCTGCAGAAAAAGCTAAATGTGAATTATCATCTACAGCACAAGTAAGCATAGAAATAACTGATTCTTGTAGTTGTAATAATTCAAATTGAATTTTTATTTTTTTATAGATAGATATTAATTTACCTTATTTAACTATGGATAAATCAGGTTCAAAACATATGAATTCGAAAATAACTTGTACTCAATCCGAAAGTCTTGTTGCTTATTTAACTAAACGAACAGTTGGCAAGAATAAGTTTTTTGATGAAGTATTTATCAAGAATCATAGGGAAAGAAAAGAAACATGCTGGAAATGTTGTTGATTTTTTCCTGCAGTATTATCGTCTTTCTCTTCATTTTCCTTTGTTTCCTTACTATCCGTTCCAAGCTAGAAGGGATTCCGATGTTTTGTGAATAACTTTGTTAAGATTGAAAACTTCAGACGCTACTCCTTCTATTGTTCTTCCTTTTAGAACCTCTCTCTGAATTCACTTCACTTAGTTTTTGTTCTCTATCTTTTTCTTAGCATTGCATCATTGTATTCATGTATTGTATCATTATTTTTTTGGTTTTTATCCGACTTCTATTAACATATCATTCTTATGCAATCTTCGTTATATATAGATTTGCGTTTTTTCACTTTTATTTTCAAAAGAGATTTTGATTGTATTGTGTGTGAGTGTCTTATCTTTTTGCCTTTTTAACATTTATTCTAATAATTTAGATAACTTATTTTATATATCTTGTCAATATCTTGTTAAAGAAGAAGAAAATTAATCTACTATGGGCAACACTACTTGTCGCATTAACAGTGGTCCAGGTGGAATAGAGGTTAAGTTATATGATTTAATAACCGGACAAGATAGATATGTACAACCTGGAGATATGATTGAATTTCCAAGAGGAAATTACAATCACTGGGCAGTATATGTTGGTAAGAGTGTAACTGTCCAGCATTTTGAATTGTTTTGATGTTTTTTTTTTTATTTCTTCACAGGAAATGGCAACGTTATTCATCTGTAAGGCTCTTTTTTTTACCAGGTAGCCTCGCCCAATAAAATTTTTCCATAATTCAAAACTACTAAAAAACGCGAACGAGTTGTTGATTCTTTTTGTAATTTTAAACATGTTTTTTTTTTAGTTGCGACAAACTCGTTCTTTTTCGAATTTTATCAAGGAAAGAACGCAAAAATTGTGGTTGTTTAATTACAGCAATGCAAAAAAGGCGTTTCTCGTTATTAGGAAGAACTCAGTTTTCGCGTAGATTGAGAAACGTAAAATGCAAAAAAGGATGTTTCAAATGAAAACCACAATAGAAAAAAGATTGTGTGTTTTTTCTGTTTAAGTCGCGACAAAGACAGCTCATTAAGGGTAACGAAGTATTACTCTCATCTTCTGGTCTTAGCTCATTCTTGGGGTTTTTCCACGACATTTTACACTTTTTTTTATCTGAACGTATGCGTAGGTGGATCGAAGGTGACGATAAAAGTAATAATGCTGAAGTAATGGAAAGTAAATTTGAAGTTGTGGTTCAAGGTAGTCCAGCAAGAATTAATAATTATCCTGATTGCTTTGGATCGAGGTATGTTTTTGCAACCGAAATTTCCAAAACTTTCTTTTGTTTTGCGTATTTTTCTGCATTTATTTTCTCAGACCATATGCAGCAGATGAAATTGTTGAACGTGCTCGTAGAGCTCTCGGAAAAAAAGGATATAATCTGTTGAAATATAATTGTGAACACTTCGCTACTGAATGTGAGTAACCTATCTTTTTTTTTACTGCGAAGTTTTATCTGCTTGTTTAATTATTACTTTTAAGGTCGCTATGGACGAAGTTGGAGTCATCAGGTAATCTGAGCAAATACCAAAGAAGAGTAATCTATATATTAATCTTATTCATGTCATTTCACTTTTCGTTCTAGTCTGTTGGTCCAGGTTTATCTTTAGGTTTCTTCCAATGAATCTTTTCTTAGACAATTAGAACCAGACAAACTAAAAGAAGAATAAAAACAAAAAGCAGATAAAAATGAATGCACCATTATTGGTTGAGTTCTCTTTTCTTTTACTTAACAGTTGTTCAACGAAGTGAGATTTTCTTTTTTTGTTACTACATCTGCTTGTTTATTTTTTTCTGTGTAAAGTTCAGTTAATTTACTATCATTGTTGTATGCATACACTTTTTTGTATATTTCTATTTTTCAACACAGACTTTCGAGATTTTTTCTTTTCACTTAAAACTGACAGCTCAAGATGACACTATTCACTGGATTTCTTGACTTTACAAGAGCTTTTTATCCCTTATCAAGAGCTTGTCTCGTAGTCAGAGAAACTTGCCAATACATGAGATTCGGTGTCTTTGATTCTCAAGTGAGCCAATCTAAAGTAGAACACGTTTCACGAAATGCTTTTTCGAAAAAAAACACTAGCCCACATCGCGAAGCGATAGAAAAAGAGAGTTCTGTAGAGTAAAACGGAGGAACGTTCTGCTATATCTATTGGTGTCTTATTCAGAGGAAGAATCAGTGCAAATGTCTTTAAAGTCTGTGTAAGAAGCAAAAGCAGAATTATTTCTAATTAGGTTTTTAAATAAATTTCAATTAATTTCTACATCGCAAATATGAGGTGAGTAAATCGCATAAAAAATGAGTTTGTAAAGTATCACAAGGATATAATTTCTTTTCTCTGACATGCAACGCCTGCCATGATTGTTCGACTGTTGAGCATCGATCCATGGCAATTTTTCATCGAATATTCTTGTCACGGACGAAAGCCACATGTCTCCCAATTATCTCATTTCGAGAGAGCTATCGTGGGGAGAAAAGACACTCCAATATGTTTCAATAGTATAAAAAGAAGTTTTTCACTCCAACTGGACACTCATGCAAATATGAGACTCGCTAGGAATTCGATTAGAAGCGCAGGCATTCACAATGAACGGTTGAAGGTAATATTCGAGCAAATGATTTCTTGTTATTGCGGTTGGCGCACTGTGCGAACTGGAATTGCGCTAGTCTTCAGTAGTAGTCATGCAATATCCTTCATATTGATTTTGAAAAGATCAAGAAAGTTGATTT